GCGCCGTGCCCGCCAACCGCCGCACCACGTGCGCACTCACACCGGGCACTTGGGGCAGCGGAGGTACCAGGCTGCCACCCCGCTGCCGCTTGGCCGCCGGCACAGGGCGAGCCGCGGCGGCAGTGCTGGCCTGCTGGGCTCTGGCCTTGGCGGCACCGGCTGGCCGGCCCGCTGCTGCTCCGCGCCCGGCTGGCGGCGGCGCCGGCGGCGGAGCACGCGCCGCCGCCTTGGCCGCGGCAGCAGCCTGCGCCCCCGCGGCAGCCGCCATGGCCGCCACCCCGCCCTTGGGGCCCGGCGCCGCGGCAGGCGCTGCCGTCGAGCGCTGCGTCGCTTGCTTGTCCCCAGCCCCCTTGCCTGCTGCAGGGGCTGCCTTGGCTGCCGCAGGCGCGGGCGCCGCGCCGCCTTGCTTGCCGCTCTGTGCCGCCTGCTTCTTCTGCATCTGCTGCTGCTCCTCCTCCATCTGCGACGCTGGCTTGCTGCCACCACCGCCGCCTCCCTTCTTGGCTGCAGCAGCGGGCGCGCTGCCTGCCGCCGCCGCCGCTGCGGCCAGCTTCTTGGCGGTCCCAGGCGCTGCCCGCTTGCCCTTGGCTGCCTCGCCCCCGCCGGTCTGGTCTGGCAGGCTGGTGAGGTGCACCACGCCCTGCACGCCGCCCTGCCGGTCCATTACCTGCACCCGCCCCCGCAGCTCGTGTCAGCACAGCAGCAGCTGGAAGCAGCACAGCAGCCAAGCCAACAGGCAGTCCATGCTGCCTGCCACACAGCACAACACAAGGTTGCGCCCCTGCAGGAGGCACATATGCGCCGCCACCTGCCGCACCCGCACCCACCTTTGTCTCTCCGGCCCAGAAGGCCAGCGGCGGCATGCGCTTGCGCCCGCTGCGCGTCATTTCCAGCCCTGCCGCATGCACCGGCACCGCGCCCGCGGAGGCGGCGCCCTGCCCCGCCTCCTCCTGCTTCTTGGCTGGCCGTTGGCTGCCGGCTGGCGGCTGGGCCGGCCGGCGGGCGCCGCCTGCGGTGCGTGCAACCTTGGCAGGGGGCGCCTCACGCCCCGGCTCCTCCCGCGGCTCCCGTGGCTCCTCCTCATCCTGCAGTGGCTGCTGCTGCGGCGGCTGCTGCTGCCCCTTGCTGCCGTCAGATGCAGGTGCAGGCGCTGCCGCAGGTGATGGCGGCGGAGCGATGCGCTTCCTCCCCGCCACCTTGCGCCGGCGGTGGCCCGTGCTCGGAGCGGCGCCCGGGCTGGCGGCAGCCGCCTCGGCGGGGCCTGGCGCATGCCCCTGCTGCTGCACGTCCCGCGCGCCGCCTCGCTGCTGCTGCCCTGCTCCCTGCCCTTTCCCTGCCGACGACTGCTGCTGCTGCTGCTGCTGAGTGCAGCGTGCCTCACCTCCCTCTGTGCCCTGGGCAGAGCTGCCTCCGGGAGTGCTGGTGGCAGGTGCTGCGACTGGCAGCGGCGGCAGCTGCTCGCCCTCATCCGCCTCCGACCCCAGCTGCTGCACCAGCTCACCCGCAGCCGCCAGGGCGGCCACAGTGGCAGCCTCCCGCCCCGCAGCATCCTCGGGAGTTGCCGAGCGGCCCGAGGCCGCCACCCCTGCACCCGACCCGGCCGCCGCTCTGGCCGCCACTGCGGCTGCAGCTGCAGCAACAGCCTCTTCGGCTTCTGCCGCCGCCGCCGCCGCCGCGCCACTGTGTGCCTGCTGCTGCCAGGCCGGAGCAGGCTGCTGCTGCTGCTGCTGCTGCTGTGAGCGCTGTGCTCGCGGCGGCAGCAGCGCCTCCCGATCCCAGGGCGCCGCATACGGCGATGCCTGCGCCTGCTGCTGCGCCTGCTGGTGCCAGGGCCGCGCCTGCTGGCTGCTGCTGGGCGGCTCCTCCACCAGCGGCTCCCCGCCGGCCGGCAGCTCCGTCACCGAAAACGAGCCCGCCCGCTGCTGCTGCTGATGGTGGTGCTGGTGGTGCTGGGCGGAGTGGGGGAAGGCCCCACCCCCGCCGGCACCCCCCTCTGCTGCCTCCGCCGGTGCAGAGTGCAGCAGGGCTGTGTGGTGGTGGTGCACCGTGTGCACCGTGGCGACCGCCTGGAAGCCGGGGCTGTGCTGGCGCTGCACCACCCGCCGCCACTCGCTCGTTTGGACAAGCTGAGCTGGCAGCGGCGGGCGGAAGTGCTGCTGCTGCTGCTGCTGCTGCTGCTGCTGCTGCCCCGCCGCCTGCAGCTGGCCTCGGCCCTGGGCTGCCTGCTCCAGCTGCTGGCCGGGCAGGATGTGGGTGTGCGGCGCGGGGCTGCCCAGCGCGGCACCCCCGCTGCCCGCCGCCGCGGGGCTGCCAAACGCGGCGCTGCGGGCGGGCAGCGCGGGGCTGCCAAACGCGGCGGCCAGGGATGCGCCTGCGGGGGCCGGGCTGTAGTGCAGCCGCGGTTGCTGCAGGGGCGAAGCAGAGGGGCAGGCGGGAGGAGTTGAGCGGGTTGGCGTGGGAGCTGGCCTGGCGGGCAGAGCACTCATGCCCCTCCCCGACACTGGGCCTGCCCTGCGCACCAGGTGCGATGTGATGGGGCTGCGTGCCACCATTGCGTCGAAGCTGCGGCGGATGCGCTCCGCCACCTCGCTGCGGTTGAAGGCAGCCGCGTCGGCAAAGCTGGCGGCGGCGTATGGGTGGACGTAGCCTCCCGCGCTGCCGGGCGTGGTGCGCATGGCGGGGGCCGCCAGGGCGAGGGCCGAGGCCGGCCGCGCCTGCAACGCCAGCGGGGCCGGCGCCCTGCGGTGCCACCAGGGCGGCACAGGCGTCGTCAGGGGAGAGAGGATGCGCATTGCCAGCGCACAGCCAGCCCGAGTGCTTGCTGCCACTCACCGCGGGGCGGGAGACCTGAAGGCGCCGCCGCCGCCGCCGTCGGCGCCGCCGGGGGGCGATGCCGTGGGGCCACCATCGAACAGCTGGCCCGAGCGCAGCGGGTCCACCCTTTTGGGCCCAACCACGAGCTGCGGGGGCTGCATGGGGGGTGCCACAGAGCTGCCTATTCAAACCCGGGCTGCTGGGGCGCCGCCATCGCAAAGCTGCAGTGCCGCAGTTCGCTGCGAGATTGCTGAGACCGCCTGATGATCGTGATGTCCAGTCAGCCCCGTGTGGCACTCGCAAGCAAAATGCGGGAGTGCTACGGGAGCATTGCGTGCACATTGCAATTGCTGCGTGCGGCGAGCGCGGCACCAAACCGTCTCATCATCAGTCGGGCGCATCCCATCACCAGTCCTCTGCTGCCCCGCCTGGCCTGGCGCTTCCGGTGCGTGGTGCCAAGCGAGGGGGTATGCATTTGTGCCACCTCCGCCACTGCGACACGGAGGAGCCGCCGCCGGCCGCCCCGCCCCCTTTGCTCCCGCCCCGGCCACCTCCCCACGCCCCTCCTCTGCATACCCTGGGCAGCCGCCTGGACTCCCTGCCTCCCTGCCCAACCCGTAACTGCGTGGCCCCTCGTGGCAGGAATGCCCGACAAGGCGTCAGACCCTCTGCTGGAGCAGCTGGCCAAGACGCTCGAGACGGATGCGGCGCAGCGGGGGGAGCTCATCAAGAAGATCAAGGTGAGCGGCGCGGGGCCAGGCTGCTGGGGGCGAGCCCCCTGCTGCCGCCGCGCATGCACCTGCAAGTCACAACGGCCTTACCGCATGCCACGCGCTCCTTGCTGTGGGCCAGGGCATCGTGGTGTTTGTGATTGATGGCGCGGAGTGGACGCTGGACCTGCGGGAGGGCAAGGGCACGCTGGTCAAGGGGCCGCCGCCCGAGAAGGCGGACATCACGCTGACAATCAAGGGTAGGCGGCCTGCTGCACGCCGCGCCGCGGTACTGCTTTGGTACCGCCAAGCAGGTTGGGCAGCGGCAGCCAGGAGGTGTTCCCCCGAGCATGCCTGTCCTGTCCAACTGGCGCAGACGGCGACTTTGTGAGGATGGTGGGCGGCAAGCTGGGCCCGCAGCAGGCCTTCCTGATGCGTAAGCTCAAGATTGCGGGCAGCATGGCGCTGGCGATGAAGCTGCAGCCAATCCTGGTGCGTGGTTGCAGTGCAGCAGAGGGGGGGTGGGCGTTCAGGGCAACAGCCGCGGGTCGGGTGTGCTGTGACTCGTGCTTTTGCCTGCTGCTCCTGCAGGATGCCGCGGCACCAAAGGCCAAGCTGTAGGGAGCAGCTCCGCCAGCCCCACCAATAACCCCCATGGCCGTAGCTGCCAGCCAATTTTGAACCCAATTTTGCACAGCAATTTCGTGTCAGCTTGAACATGTAGCGTGCAGCTCGTTTAGCTTCCCCTGTTTAGCTCCTGCGACCGACCCCAGTAGCCCTGGTCGGCATGTATGTAAGGCCCGCAGCACATGCCACTTTTTTACTAAACACAAGGCACCAGGGGTCGATGAGAGGGAACATCGTTGCAGGATGTGTCAAGTAGAGAAAACGCTAGCCACACTCAGTCAACAGTCCAACAGTCAAATGAAGCAAAAAACAAAACTTGGGTTGGCAACGGCTGGAGGTGCTCCTGAGGAGGGAGGAGGCAAGGGGATAGGGGCTGGAACTGTTCCCGGGAGGACAGGCCAGCAACAGAGTTGTGCATTGCTCAGCTCGCATGAAAACAGGTGCAATGTGAAAGTGGGGGGAGAGAGATGTTGATTGTGCAAGGCGATTGAGAGCAATACAGGGCAGAGAGGGGGACAGGTTGTGCAAGGAGCAGCAACATAGAGGGTTGGAGCGTGGAAAGCAAAAAGCACATGCGATGGAGTACAGGCCTGCACCTCTGCTGATGAGGAGGCGTGTCAGCCGCTGCCAAGGGGGGCATCCACAGCCGGCTCAGCAGCCCCGTCAGAGTGCTTGCGGCTTGCGGCTGCACCAGGCTTGGGCTTCTCCAGCAGCTGCCCCAGCCGCTTCAGCAGCTGCGAGGCGCTGGGGCGGCTGGAGGGAGTCTCGCTGCATGGCAGGGAGGAGGCAGCGGTATGTCTGTGTTTGTGCGTGTCAGGGCAGGCGCGCCAGGAGGCAGGCTGGGTGGGCATGGTGGCGGCGCGGGCGCATCAGGCCATTTGGTGCGGTGGCACGCGGCCTGCCTGGCGCGGCCACCCGCCCACCTCACGCACTCCTGCATCAGGTCCGCCGCCGCCTGGGGGCACTCTTCGGGCACGCGGGGCGCGCGCAGCTTGCCGCGCTGCGGCCGCTCACCAGTGATGATCTCCCACAGCACCTGCGGGCGGGTGGCGGCGTGGTGGGAGGTGGTGAGGCGACGGGTGGGGCCAGCAGTGACTGGGGTAGGGTGCAGGGCTAAGGGGAGGCTCGCAGGGCGGCAGGCAGCGCAGGCAGGCAGGCAGGCAGGCAGGCAGGCAGGCAGGCAGGCAGGCAGGCAGTGCAGGCAGCAGCCTGGGGCAGGCAGGCGGGCGGGCACGCGTCGGCAGGGGCAGCGCTGGCAGGGGCAGCGCTGGCAGGTGGCTGCACCGTCTCACCACCCCAAAGGAATAGATGTCCACCTCCTCGGTGACCTGCTGCTTGCCGGTGAGGATCTCGGGCGCGATCCACGCAAACGTGCCCACCAGCGGCACATTGGACAGCACCGTGTGCGTCTTCTGGCGGCTGAACCCCACGTCGGTGACGCGCACCGCGCCGTTGGCGGTCAGCAGCACCTGCAGGGCAGCGGGGGCGGTGGCCAACGGCGCGCGAGGTGGGGCGGCGGCCTGGCGCAGGCAGGCTGCAGGAGAGGAACAGCTGCGGGCGGGGCCGCGGCGCTTCTCATGTGGCCGGCTGGCTACTAGCGCAGTATGCTTGCTGGCTGCGGGACTTGCATTGGAGCTCTTGATGTCCATCTGCGGCAGCAGGTTGGCGGGAGCAGGCGCAGCGGCAGCGCAGGTCGGCGCCTGCTGCCAGGCCGGTGCGGCGCTGGGGCATCAACAAATTCGCAAAGTGCCCCAAAAGTTTTCACTCACGTGCACCACGCCCTTGGAGTGGAGGTAGTTGAGGGCCTGAGCAGGGGACAAGGGTGGGAGTTTTTTGCTTTCTTTCTTTCTTTCTTTTCCAAGTCGGGGAGCAAGCCCGGCAGCGGAGGAGCCGGGCCCAAGCACGGCGGAGGCTGCGTGCGCTTGCAGGCCGCGCAGGGGCGGCACTGCGCCCGTCCTCCTGCCCAGCATGCGGCGGCCCCGCCAGCCCCAACCTTTGCAATCTCGTACGCCACCCGCCGCCCCCTCCGCTGCCACGCAAACAGGCGCTGGTTGCTGCCGGCCGCCTTGACCTGCAGAGCACTGTACAAGTCCCGCCCTGCGCCACCAACAAGAGGGTG